CATTCTCGGCATGTAGCGATAGACGAAACCCAACCTGTGTTTATTTTAATATTCTATAATGTATTGCATAAATCGGAATGAGATTTTTGGGCAAAAGTCAAAATACGAGGGGTTATCAAAAAGTTCGTGGACTAGCGTCATAAAATTAAAACCGCTTTAGGTACATCAATGAATTTTTACACATTTAGTTAGCATCATCTTTTCTATCTATAGAATAAACCATAAATCATAATTTTTATTTTTTAATAAATTGTTAGTGTTTTTGTAAGCAAAAAGTATGTCCAGGCGGCGCAACTCTAATATGACGTTTTTTTCTACCTGAGTGTAACTGAGAAAAACTCTTTAGAAATGAGTATTTGTCATCAAAAATTCTCGTTAATTCAGGCAGTTGGTACGACATATTTGTTCAGTAAAATTTGCAATTTTTACCCCATTCTGTATTTCTATGAAATTTTATCGGAGTGAGCAAACAATTATGGGCTTGAAAATAACGTCAAAAGGGGGGGGGGGGTTTCTTTTTCAAACACTCTATAGAGTTTCGCTCCTGGAAAAACTGGTATTGACCTAAGGAATGTTTAAACTGGCTACAGAAAAATAAAATGCATCCAGATTACTTGTTTTTTAATGCCCAAAAAGATTCACAGAGATGAAATATGCACAGTTAGTGTCGATTTGTAGTCAGGGTGTCAAAAGTCAGTCACGTCGAAAAGTGACGTTGATCATGTGTGGTAGAAATTGAACTCCAACAAGCTAAGTATTCTGGCATAATCAAGTGAGGATCTTTCCCCATATAAAGATCCATTTACAATATTATATGCATTGAAAACAGCTGCTCATGACATTGTAAATTCATATAAATAAGACGGGTTTAAGTCCTTACTTAACTCCAGGTGTAATCTCATCAAGATAAGTGTATAAGGTAGAGAGAGCGGACATTAAGAAACAATGACGTTAAGCGGACGTCATGACACTATATAGATGACATGTTTTTGGCCCCTCTGAGCCCCTAGTTTGAGGGGTCAACCCCTTCTTCTTGATATCAAAACGGCGACAGCGCCGGGTGATCACATAAAGTCTTTTTAATTTTAGAATAATTTGGCAAATTATCAACGTATCAAGCTAAAATTTTCAACATTTCTTAAACTTTTGTTGTTTTATGTTCTGCATAAATTTTGTAAGCAAAGACTACATATTATTAATTTTATCGCGTCAGTCCACGAACTTTTTGATAACCCCTCGTAAATAGGGGTTTAAATATAATATTTTGATGAAAACTTTCTATTTTAAAACTAGGCCCGTAAAATGCGGAAGGGGGTGTTTCTTTAATTCTGTAATTATTGAATAAGAGTTGATATTTTTTTACAGGGTGAACTGTGAAAAAATATCAGTCATATTTTTCACATTGCGAAAAAATATCGGTGATATTTTTTAAAAGTGTGAAAAAATATCAGAAGTTCGGCTTAACTCGAGATTTTCCTTCCCTTCTCGAAGAGTGTCTGTTATAAGACAGGAAAGTCAGAGGAAATGTACGTGTATTATATAAACAGAAAATTCAATGTTTTGTTGTTGAATATGGAATTTATTTTACAAGTGAAAATCATATCATCTGCTTTGCGTGAAAATATAAAAAATCCTGTCCTACTTGTGAAATAAATTCAAAAATTTCTTCCCCGACAAAAATACTATAATAGTTAACCATAGGTGAGTATAGTTTACTATAGTTAACCATAGTTTACTGTGGTTAACTATAGTTTACTATAGTATCAAAGTTTTTTACTATAGTAAATCAAAGTATTTTTACTATGGCTTTCAGATTGTTATATTTTTGTTCTTCAATTAATTATAATACATGCACATTTTTATATTTAATGTAACTATTATTTGAATATTCACATATTATTTCCAACAACAATGTTACCGAATTTATGAGATTTTAAGTTTTGAAATCTCAAAAAAAAAATTCCAGAGTAAAGTTTCAAAGTTAATCAAAGTATAAAAGTTTTTACTATTATAATAGTTTTACTATAGTTAACTATAGTAAACTTAAGGTAACTATTGTTTACTATAGTAAATTTTTGTTAGGGTTATTCGCAAAGTTGTTCAGTAAACAAATAAATCTATCTTTTCGACTATAAAAAATAAATACAGTAGTCTGTTTCAGATATGAAGTCAATAAGGGTATGCCCAGCACATAAGTTCATTCCCTGTGATTAAAAAGCGCTTGCATTTGAATGAGAACGATGTCCAAGATTCCAGGGAATTTGATGACCTTTAAAAAATGTGGTCTGGAAGGAATTGTTTTATTATAACATAAAAATTTGCCATTAACAGTAAACATGAACTAGATAATTAGTTTTGATGACACTAAAAGGGGAAATACAGAAATATATGAGGTCCTTGAAAATATACGATCTCCCATAGTTTGTGGTTGGATTTGACGTTTATCTCATACGTTTGGAGGATACCACCCATTATTAAACCTATGCTTTTTCCGCTGATATGCTGTATCAAAAGCACACCCGGTTTTGACACAATCCCTCGCTCTAAGATGTAAAGAATGAGTGGACTTAACGCAATATTTTGGATCATCATTACAGCATGTTACCAAAGTTACCTCCCACTGTGGGACGTGGAGACGGGCCTTCGGATGAGACCGTATAAACCGAGGTCCCGTGTCGCAGAAGGTGCTGGCACGAAAAAGATCCCTCACTGCTCAATGGCCGTAAGTGCCGTGTATAGGACAAAATTTGCAGCTTTCCACCGGCAAGTGGTGGCGTCTCCATATGAGTGAAAAATTCTCGAGAAGGACGTTAAACAAAACACAACAAACAAACCAAAGTTGCCAATCTTGGAACCACAGGTTGACTGTTTTCATATCAAGAATCTATGTGGAAACCATGTACATTTAGTGGATTCCGTGAAAGGAAATTATTTTTCGTAAATAGAAACTAACTGATGTCATGATTCCCATAGGTCTCAGTTAATTACTTTCGAATTGTTACTTCTTCTTTTTCATCTGTATAAATGAAAAAACTCATGTTCAACATGGATAATTCTGGTACATTTCTTTTCACGAACCCATCTCCGTCTTCCAAGCTTATTTCTTTGAAAGGTATATTTCTTCTAAAACTTTAATCCTTTTAGACTCCATTCTGAACTTTGGGACTTCTGTTTGAAGATTTTAAATCTTCATTATGATTATAAATTATATTCATTTCCCTTGTTATTCTTCATCTGATAATATTTGAAGATTTTTCACTATATTTTTCTAAATAAAAATATGGATTACTGTCAAAAAATAATGTAAAAAAAAAATGCATTCAAGATTGGAATTGAATACAGTTAGTGGACGCCATACGAGCGATGAAAGGGCTGCAGATAAAAGTTTGGATAAAATTTTCTGCATGTATACCGGTGTTATAGAGTAGGATTTCCCCATAGTAGGATTTCGTCCCAGTAATTCTACTCTAGAGTCATCGTCCCCATTATTATTAACAGGAGTTTCCCCTCCCCTCCTTAACGTTATACATGCATTATAATTTCATTTATGTGGTATTAATCAAGTTAACATATTCTTTAGAGGATGTAGAAACATGTTATATGATTTGTAGGAGAATTTATTGTATTCTAAAATCTACAGCAGTACTAGAACCTCCACTTTTATTTCTTTTGAGAGAAAGGATAATCAGGCAATGATTAGGCAAAACAAATTACAGCTATCAACTTAATTTAAGTTTTCTTATTGAAATTAAAATGTGTATTGTAAGTGTAATTATAAGCTAGTATGATTGTAAGTAATTTAGATATTATCAAAATAGTTAAATATCTTTTTCTTATTACATAAACCTTGCCCCAAGACCATAGACTGAGAACTAACTTAAGTCAAAATTTTGATTTTTTTTATCTTGAGATTTATTTTCATTGTAGTCAGAAATGAAATATACTGTGATATGCAGGACAACATTAATACGGGAGGAGGAAACTGGTTCTAGGGGGAAAGTTCTACTCTAGAGTAGAATTCCCCTCCCCCCTCGGGAAGCTGACTTTATTGTGGAAAATTTTAATCTAGAACCAGATTTTCCAGGGGTTAAATACTACTCTAGAATTCAATTTCCAGGGGAAAATTGCACTTTAAAGTCAGCTTGGGGGGGGGGGGGGGGGTTAGGGAAGGAAATGTTACTCTACAAGACCGGTATGCCGGTATGCTGTTTAATTAGTTTAATGCACACATTTAGATATTTAAAAAGCTCGAAAAATTTAATTCAGAAATGAAATTTTCCTCGAAGAAATTCTTCATTCTATATCGAAGAATATGATTTTGAATTTAACGACTTTCTGTTTACGCATTGTAAATCATGCATTTAGAAGAATTGTTTCAATTTTGGACTATCCTTCCAGTGGCCCATTTATAACAAAAAATCCGTGATATTAGTACTCAAACAAGATAGCGAACAAAAGATTGAATAAGATCTCAAAACTACTCCATATAATCATGCTTGATTGTTTTGTTTTTTATTCTTTGTGCATATGAAAGTAACGGAGGAGAACATAAGTAAATATTATTATTTATAAAGGGACACGATCTTTGAGTGCTTATTTATCGAAGGGGGAAAATCACTGTTATTTTTCTACTCATTTTATTCTGAAACATAAAGATTAAATAACTGTCTATTTTTATCTAATCTATGGATATATTTTAAGGATATATATATATATATATATATATATATATATATATATATATATATATATATATATATATATATATATATATATATATATATATATGTATGTATGTATGTATGTATGTATGTATGTATGTATGTAAGTTTCGTTATATGTAAACAATAAGCTCTGTATATTTCATATTCATTCTTATACATTTATCTTTTATTTATCCAGTTAAGAATATAAAACATTTTTTCCATTTGTATTTTCATTCATGATGTTTATTAAATACATGTTGTATACAAAACAATGTTTCTACACTTGACCTTAACTTAACGCCTGGGAGTCTGGTGACAAGGTCTAAGAAATCTGTACACTAAAGAGACCCGAAATTTCTTTCTGACAATATCCAGCTTAGAGGCATAAATCAGGGGATTAAAAGCACTATTGGCAATACTCAAAACGAAAAAGTACGTAAACACAACCTCTTCTGACCACTTCCCTGATAGGTTTATATCAGTCTTCAAAAATATCACCAATATTGTAAACAAACCTACAAAAGAATATTAACAAATTTTTACACTTCTAGGTGGTTGCCTAAATGTATATCCTTTATCATTCAAAATTAAGCTCAACATTAAAAATAAAGACCAGTAGCCCTTTTCACAAAAAATCTTACGACATATTTTTATCTTAAGGACCCTCTCTACACTGCACCCTGCTTTCGGGGTACTTTTGTGTAATTAGACCGACCCATCATTTGAAATATAAGTAGAATAAATTGTAATCTGAACTGTATCACATAAGTTGAAATAAATCCAAGTATTCTAAACATTATATTAGACCAAGATAGAGTATTTGAAAACTTTATTTGCATGTATTTTATCCATTTGAGTAAGCGAAGGCAATTTTTCTTTTCTATTATTTCATTATCTTTGAAGATTTTTCCTGAATACAGAAGGCACGCTCCCTATATTAAAAATGACTTAGTTAATTTCAAAATATCCTCCTGCATGTTATATAATTTTCTCAAAGTCCAAAAAACATTTTTCATCAGTGTATAGAGGGTCCTTAAGTGAAAACTTATGATAAAAATCATTTTCACAAAAATTCTTAAGAGAGTCGTAAGTGCAAAATCTGTCGTTACTTTACGAGAGCCCCAACCCTCTCTTAAGTATTTTAAAACCGATTTTATTGTGAAATATAATCGCAAAAACCAAAATACACGTTAAATTGAACGTTGTAAAGCAACTTACAATATTATTTTTTATTACATTTTCAACAGTGAAATACTGTGATTTATTTATTGAATAAAAGTGATATTCTCTCACATTGTGAAAGGATACCAAAATGATATTTTTTCACAGTGTGAAAGGTTATCAAAGTAAGTAAAAAATAATTTCTGACCTGTCATAAGATAGAGATAGTAACTTACCATCTAGATAGAGCTAAAACTGCAAATTTCTTCCCAAATATGTTGCTAAAATCTATGCAATGTAATGTTTTCAATCTCACAACTACTAAGCTATGACGTCTCAACCGCTCAACTATGACGTCAAGCCTATGACACTGTGTTAAGAAAAGACAGAGGCAAAGGGAAAACCAAAGAAAATGTAATAAACAGAAAATTCAATGTTTTGTAGATGAATATGGAATTTATTTCACTCGTGAGACAGGATTTTTTGATATTTTCACTCGTGCTTCGCACTCGTGAAAATATAAATAAAAATCCTGTCCCAATCGTGAAATAAATTCCATATTCATCTACAAAACATTGAATATCCTCTATATATTTTTTTCACAATCATTGTCGAAAAATTAAATGAAATACACTACAAAATATTTACGATGTAAGTTTCACTTAAGATTTTCGTATGACCTACTTTTACGTCAGACTTGTGATTGTGACGTCAGATTTTAAACTTCCTTGCTTTACAAATGATTGCATTCGATATTTGTTGTCAATGTTTGTTATGCTGACAATTGTTGAAAACTAAGTTTTATTTTATTTTCACCCACTTATTTAAGAATTGTAAAGCATATTGAAGTCGTTGCTAGGGATGAAGTCTGTCGTAAGTAAAATCTTAAGGGTGCAAAACACAGTTTTATGTATGACGTTATCATGACGTTACTAAATGAGGGACATGCTAAAGTGACACCCATAAAGAAATAATATGAAGACTTGTTACACAGACATCTATATATCAATAGAAAGATAAAATGGTGAATTTTATAAATATATAAATATATTGCATTTATCGCCCACTAATAAGGTGTATTTGACACATGAAACATCAGGGAAATAGGGAAGTTTATGCGTCTAATTGTAGTACACCTATGCATTTTTAGCTCCCTTGATGACAAACAGTGCAAAAATCAGAAAATATAAGTGCTATGCATTTCACAGAACAAGTCCGTAGGTTTCTTTTTGTTGTACTTTTAGGGTACATTTTCCAGCTTTTTAAAGAGCTACTTTACCTGATACTCAAATCATGCAATTCTGCACATGTGAAAAATGGGTGTTTTTAGAGTTATCTCCCACTATTAAAAAGTCACACAAAAATTCATTCTCAAAAAATATTTGTATACTTTTTTCATTTAATCTTAAGATAAGACTCTACTTTATGCAAATAAAAATAAAAAAGCTGCAATTTTCATGTACACTGCATAAAAATAGCAGGGAAATCCCTACCCATCATGCTTTTCTCTGAGAAAACCCCTCTGGATTTTATACGAAACTGTGTTTAGCTACTAAGTTCAATCTGCTACGAATGCGTTCGTGAAGCGCACTTGAGATTTGTCGTAAGAGATTCTTAAGTTGAAATCTTATGCAAAAACTTAAGATTTTTTGTGAAAAGGGCTACAGGATTGCATTAAGAAAAGTAAAATGATAGTAAAACTGAAGAAAAAGTTCAATAAATACTGGTATATAATATAGAAAATTATGTATGTTATAGTCCTTTTCCGCCATACCTCCAATCTTACTTTGTTAAAACTCACTCTCTTTGTACACACAAGTACTCTTGAGTTGATATTAAAAATTATTTGCAGTGGTTAGAGCGTCTGCTCTACAGTCGCAAAGTAAGGAGTTTATCCTTACGTCGCGGGTTCGAATCCCACTTTGGGACGTGGAGACCTTACCTTCGAATGAGACCGTATAAACCGAGGTCCCGTGTCGCAGTAGGTGATGGCACAAAAAAGATCCCTCACTGCTCAATGACCCTGAGTGCCGTGCATAGGTCAAAATTTGCAGCTCTCCACCGGCAAGTAGTGGCGTCTCCATATGAGTGAAAAATTCTCGACAGGAATGTTGAACAACAAACAAAAAATTGTTTGGTTTTTCATTGATAATATCTATGTCATTTTGGAGACCGACATTTCCAAAAACCTTAGGTTTTTATGTGCCCTGTTATGAGCAGAGCTTTCTTGTACTCTATGAAGCAGAATTTATTCAAAATCTACATTAAAAAAATTTATATTGCTGAGACTCAATTCGACATATACATATAACGACGACGTCTAATCAATTAACAATATTAATTTTCAATCAAACGTTATCTCCCACTGAACTCGAAAAAAAGACACGTCTGTTTCATATATGGATGTGTTTCTAGAGAAAGATATCGATTTTTGCTGTATGTTAAATGTGATTTCAACTTTTCTATTGTCAACTTCCCTTATATACAGTGTATGTAGTACATGTAACATGTCTATATCTTCTGGAGTCGGTGTTTATGTGCCCTATTGATTTGATACGAAAACGCATGTTCTGCGTGCGAACAATTTCTAAACCGAGACAGAATACTGACAAAGAAGTATATGTTACAGAGGTAATAACAATCTCGTTTAAAGTCAATATTTCGACAATTCTGATGTTTTCAGAGATAATTAGTTCTGCTCTCAATGTGTATTGTCGAATTGGACTTTAATTCTGTTTAAACGTGGAAAGTTCAATAACGCAAATGAATACTGCGAAGGAAAAGTGACATATTGATTTTATACGTACAGTTTTTATTTTTTTTTTTTTTTAAACAACGATTTAATAGGATAATTGTTTTTAATTAAATTGAGCATGAACAATCTATATTTTTGTGTTCCTAGTGTATTGAAAGCATATATAGTTGTAATTTGTGTATTCTACCGCGCTGTGAAAGGCTTCATGTAAGTTATAGGGGGTTTAATGTTGTAGATTTTCAATTTATTTCAGAAAGAAAATTACAATGAATGTAAATATATTTAGTAATTTACATGTATATGTTACAATTCATTAAAAGCATCATAACAAAGAAATAAGAGTCCTGTGTCTATATTTTCTTTGAAAATAATAGAAGTGATGTAGAAAAAACATACCAATCGGTGCCCAACACAGGAAGTACACGCCAACAATAATGAGGGTGATCATGGCAGCTCGCAGGCCTGACCTGCTTCTGCTCCGTGGCCTCCCTGCTCTCCGTATTTGCTTGATGGCGGCAGCATGACGATGAACCACGACCGCCATTCGAATGTATGCACAGATAGTGCAAAGAAATGGGGCAATGTGGAGCATCAGAATAAATAATATAAACGATTCAGACATTGTTTTAAAAAAGCTACATAAATGAAGGACATTCATAGAGCTCCATCCGAAAAAAGGAAGCAGACCAACTGCTAGCGACATAGTCCACACCACAACGAGGCTGACTTTCGTGCGCTTAATCGTGATGTACTTCCGGTAAGTGTATGAATTGCTAATTTTTATTAATCTTTCAGATGTTAGCAGCATTATGATAAAAACCGATGCTAGGTTGCAAAAGATGAACATTCCGATTCTAAGAATACACTCAACGTATATTTTAAACTGCAAGATGTTATATACAGTATCATATACAACCATAAATCCAGTGAATGTGTCAGCCATTGCAAGATTTGATATAATTGTTAAAGTAGTGTCTTCATCCTCCGTCCTGCGTGCAAACAAAATCAAGAATACCCAAATATTTGTTAGAATTATAAATATTCCTAAGAACCATAAGACTATATTGATAACCAGATCCTGTGGAAAAACACAGTGTCCGTTAAAAGTACGGAAAATACCGTCACATTCTGAAACATTGAAAAGTTCGTATTCTTTGGTTCTATTCATATCCATAATTGGCAAAAATCAATCCACCAGCATACTTGAATTTTATTTTAAAACCTATTTCAGTTTATATTTAGTCCATAATTGGTACACGAAAATGCCAAGCCGAATTTATTTTAAACCCTCATCTTGATTGATGAAGTAGCCTTCAAGGTTTCCATTAAAAGATGGTGAAAAAATTTAGTTCGATGCAAGTAATTTGAGACATCAAAGATGTTAAAAAACCTTATTAAACTGTAGTCCAAAAGCAGGAATTGATATATGAAATCCCAACTACATTGTGAAATGTCAAAAAATTGTTAAATTCATCAGATAAACCAATTAGCAAGCACCAAGGGGTAGTTACTTATTCGCAGAGTGAAATGAGTTGTTTTCTGAAATGGGATGAACTGTCGGCTGGAAACTATAAATAACAGGCAGTTCATTAAAAATGGCTTCAGACTTTTCACGAAAAAAACGAGTTTAATATCAACATTAACTTTTTCCCCCTTTTAATCAAGGAAAATTTCGAGTTTCTAGACCATTACTGGTAATAAAATAGGCCTAGATAAATATGTCTTTACGTAGAAATTTAAATTCAAAATAATAAAGGTGGAAAAGAAGGGGAAACTCATCTGCTGAAAATAGTATTTGGTGGGAATTAACTATATTTCCTTTTAATGATGTATATTATTTTCGTTTGAAAAGAAATAACATATATGAGATGCCTATTTACTATATACGTTAGTATATTCGTTATTGCATATAAAAATTTAATTTATGAAATACGTATCTGGGGATGCTTGCTTAGAAATATGGATAGCAATGACCTTGCTGTTCCTGAGAAGACTTTTAAAGATTTTTTTTCTTATACAATTCCATGTGAAATATGATCCCCTGTTGAGGCACCATCCTAAACTGGGGTTACAGTATGAACAAACCTGAATTTTGCAAGTTGCTTGCATATAAACTGGCTAATCATGACCTCGCTGTTCATTGTTACACCAAACGGTGTCATAATTTGAGGAAGTTTTAATCAACACAACCTAGGGATGCTGGCATATTCATACGAGTAATAATGATTGTTTTTGAATAGATTTTCAAAGATTTTCTTGCTATATGTTCCCATTCCTATATCCCAAATGTTCGATGGCCGATATGTTAGGGTTAATATGCGAGTAGCGCTCCATTCCTTATAAGTAATGGAGCCGAGGCCCCGAAGGTGCCGAGGCCCATTGCTTTTAAGGAATGGAGCGCTACGAGTATATTAACCCACTTAAAATCCACTGTTTTAAATGCTTGTAATTATTGTTTGTTAATATATAATGAAAAAAATATATAAAATATACACAATAAATATATATTTAACATATTAGTAGTATTTAATATATATATATAGAGAGAGAGTAAGGCGAGTAAAGTGATATAAAGAAAGGACAAGATAGGCTAAGACCCCTTTTTTGGCCCCCGGTTTGGGGTGTCTTTTAGAGTGATGCAACAGTTTATCAGTTAAAAATCTGTTGTAACCCCTGCCACAAAATGAGTATTGATTCTTAGTTATGGGATACACAGAGGTAACAGGAAGATTGGAAAATATGTCAATTTCCGAATTTTCTCATTTTTATGCAAATTTTCATCGATTTAACAGCAAATTTTGGTTCAGAAAACATAAAGCACAAGCTTGCCTATCTATCAAATTTATATATTTCATACACTAGTATCGGTTGCATCTTATGTATAAAAATCTCAGATAGGCAAGCTTTTGTTCTATGTTTCTCGAAGTGAAAAGTATCTCAAATTTCAGGAAATTCGATCAGAATTGAGGAAATTCGGGAAAATGTCCCACTTTTGCACCCTCTTGTGGCCCCCGTGTAAGCCTTGAATCAAAATTTGTGCTGGTTTTAAAACAAGCATCATTTTAAGTTCTTAACTACAAACTATCACAATTTTAACTGTGTTCTGATTTTTACATCAAATAAGAGGCCAGATTCGGCCGTTACCATACCTTGTCCTTTAAATCCGGCGTCTGTCAACAGTTTTCGATAGCGTAGAGCTAGAGATTAGTGTCTAACTACCATGGTGAGGGTGCCGGGATTGACTCTCAGCGGTACCAATATGGTATTTTTCTTAAAATGAAAATAAATTTAACGAAATTTTCTAAGTTTTTTCTCCGGTAGAGGCACGGGAAGGAGAATTTCAACATAGGAAATACCGTTTTCAATGTAATTTGCAACTCTCCATTCCTGAAAAAATAATGGATCGCTCAAAAAAAAGAGTAAGGTCAAAAGTGGATTTTAACAGCCATGACAGTCTTCACTAAAATTAGCATGTCAGTAATTAGTTGTACCTGTCTGTCTTTACTTTACACAGAGTGGTGAAATATACAATCTGTCATTAGATGACAAGTTACTTGGCACTTTGCCTTTTGGATAGTGTACAACGCGTGCAAATATATTTTTCCAGAACCCCTCTAATTGCTAGCGCTCTCGAGCGCTAGCAACTACGTTAGTCTATATTTCTGGAATACGCATGCTCGACTTCACGGTCGGGCATTCTGGGAAAACTACTGTAGATAGACTGTGCGATAACTATGATCAGAATTTACACTAGCCTTTCCTGTCTGATATGTGCGATATACATTTCTTACGTTAGAGACAGGCAATACCAGTCTAGATCCGGATTCTGAATTTTTTTTTTAATTTATTGTCTAACCTACACATAAAAGTACAAGAAAAACTTGGGTCATATAATGCCAAGATTCTAGACATCTAGCTTTCCTCACAGTTATACCACCTTCCTGGATAATTTCGGCAAGCTCGGAAAAAAATCTTCTCAGAGTATGTCGGAAAGACATGTCAGTTTAGTTTTTATCATCTGAAAATACATATGATCTGAAGTTTCGGGTTTTGTTGTCTATCCTGCACGTAAATGAACAAAAAGTAACATTTACTCGGGTCTTATAAAACGAAGACTGTTATTTCTAAAATTGTAATGAATACCTAGCTTTTCTAATCTACCTTCATTGATTTTTCCGGCAAGTTCGGAAAACCGCCGCAACCTCGGATATGTTTACCGCTTGCCGGAAAGTTCCGAGAAGATGCGATTGCTAAAAAAACAGTACCACACTGGAATATTTTAAACTAGGTGCTCGTTGGTTCTACTGACCTTTTTTTCACCTCCAAATTGAAATTACAGTAGAATACAGAATGCTTAAAGCACAGTTAGGAGTTATGCCATTGCCGACGTGAAGCCCACTCTTAGATTCACCATTCTGAATTATGACCCCCCCCCCCCCGACTCAACCCCCCTGTGCTCCAATGTGTCTTCTTATTAATAATTAATCGATTCAGCAAATTTAACAAATGGTTCAGATATCTTCTGTATTTTATTATGCTACAGCGCTAGCTCACCAATCTTTTTAAAAGATAAGCTTGTTTAACGTACTAGCCTAAACATTTTTTGGGATATCATTGTTGGTGGCCTGTAATTGTGCAGTAAGGTTAGGATTTCTCATTTTCACCCACGGGCCAATCGAGGGTCGAGAAAATATATTTTTTTCTTTGCTTATTTGGTTCCCAGAACTCTTCCTACATTTTGGTGTCATGTAGATGTGCAATACGCTATTTTCGAAATTTTCAATTTCATCCCGGGTGCCAATTTGGGTTTGAAAAGCGACGTTATTCTCAGACTCTAGCATTTTGCTTAATCTCGACACGAAATGTAATAACACAGAATGAAATAATCCTAAAATTTTTGCTATTACACTTTGCGTTGTTTCATTCTGCGATAACCTCTAGGCAAAATGTAATAACGCTAATCGTAATAATCCAAAAATTGTGTTATTACATTTTGCATTAATCTCAATCAAATATGATAACGCAAAATGTCACAATCTTAAAAGTTTGTTGTTATATTTTGCATTCATTTATTATCTACGTTGTTCTCGATGCAAAATGTAATAATCCCAATTTATTACATTTTGCATTGTTATTACATTTCGCATTGTAACAATACTATCCTGTAGATGTAGAATATTTTTGTTTCGGATTAGGAAAATCAATTGGGAAGTTATATGCAGGTCAAAAGTGATGGACTTTCGAAAACAAAAGGTGCGATCAGATGCCATGGAGGAGTAACCATCCCCTGTTATCCGGTCACACCCGCCGTGTTCTCCTTGTCATAAGGTAAACCGAAAGATCCGTAGAAATTCATTTGAAAATAATGGTTAACAACTTAACAATTTGTATAAAAAAGGGCAGGCAACGTTCGATTAACGAAAAAATGTATGACAAACAAGGTCATTTTTCCGACTATAGGCGAAATGTTGATATTTTAAAGAGATTCTCGGATAATCCTTAGTGATATTAAAAATTAGAACTATATACAATCTTCGGACTCCCAGTTTTGGTATAAGAACAACAGTTCGTACACAAAATTGAAGGAATGTAAAGTTTCTCTTAATGATATATTTGTTGAATCCTTTTCCTATCCAATGGCATGTATTACCAAATGTTCTGCTAAAAACTGTAAAACATGTGATGTTTTCAGACCTGTTTACTCTTACGATTTCGCCGTATTTTGTACGGATTTTCAGTCCAAAATACGTCTTACGTTTTGCTATAACGAAAATACGGAAATCCGTTCATATGGATTTTATCAATTAGTGTTCGTTATATGTCTCAGTTTGACGCTTTTTAATTGCTAAAGAAGAGAAAATTTTCAAACATTTAAGTTGCCAAAACGCGTTGGTCTAAAAAATGACAGAAATAGCTCAAACGAGAGCAGTGTATGACGTTTTGCTTTGTTATTAAACCATGTTTTGGTAATCAGAAATGTAGTTGTTTTCTAGTAATATATGTACAGTCGATGAAAAGTGAAATCTTACGGGCAAATGC